GACAGTGTTTCTCAGACACTGCAAGGCTGCACTAGTTGTGGTCAAAACCAGTCCTTCTGAGCCCTGAGCATACCTAGAACACGGCATTGCCCAAACACCATCACCCCGATAGCACAGGAGATTCAGGAAACACCACGGTAAAATAGGAAGTTCCTATAAATAATCTCCTCTTAAATTGCATGCGGGGGAAGCATTACTGGGGAATCACTCGCTGCATATGCACCATTTTGCTGCAGTTCAGCCATGTTTATTTACTGGTAGGCCTGGGAGACGTTCAAACACAAGAGGCTGACATTTCTGAATTGCTAAGGAAGGCTCCAGCGCTGAGCACACAAATCAAACTGCTCCTTTCACTAGGTGCTACTTGAGAATTCAGTCTGCATCCCAGTCACATACAGCAAAGTGGATCAACTCTCTGGTTTCAGACAGTGCTGAGCACTATGGCGGGAAAATGAAAATTTCTAAGGGTAGACTTGGAAAGGGCATTACTGTCAACACTCTTGGCTATCATCTTCAAATTGATTTAAAGTAAACGAGACATTTCAGCTAACTTTGTGAATGATCAGTGATGAGGTGCACCTTCGGCACCTGCATGGCACTGCATGCTTGCAGGCTGAGCCGACTTCCATCTCCACTCTGGTAAGATTCACTCATTGTTTGGAGAGTTTCACTGATAGAACTAAGGAGCTGAAGTGACCTGACGCCAGATTCTGAGCGAATGGCCTTTGCAGGCCCTAACACTGGCGCAGCTCCGCAATCCTGGTGTCAAAGTCACACTAGATACTTGCTGCAATAATGAAAATGTGGATGGATCAAGCATCGAATTGTGTGAACAGCAACAAGAAAATGATAAACAGAGACATAGAGACCTTCAACGTTTAGAACTGTCCTCTCTCCACAATTCAAGGCTGCCAGTTTTCCACGATGTCAAGGACATGATAATATCTGAAACTTGGACTGAAGGACTGAAAACTGGTCAATGAGCCAATCAGTATCTTTTCTAATATTCCACAAAGAAAAAAGCCACCATCCACAACGTTTTGTGACCTAAGTTTGGATGTAGATCAAGACGATTTTTCTGGGTGCACTGAAGTTTTTGGAAAGATAATAGAGATGATACCGTTTAGCTCACCACATTTGTCAGTAAGTAGTACTGGTTCTTTATGATGACCACTAGAGCCAAGGAAAGACCCTCTTTGGACAGGGAGACAAGCTAACTCCAGGACGTGGAGGCTGATCCAGGTCCCATCTCTTCCCTTTGCACACAATAGACAGATATGATTAAAATACTTTCTTTAAGTTGGAAAACCACAAGATATTTGAAAATCTGCCGAATCCAAAATGTGAGCAGATTTTAACTGAGTTGTATGGTCCTTTAATCAACCTAATCCACTTCCCCAGTAATCTGCCAACCTAAGGGGCCTCTGATCAAAAGCTTTTTTAAAAAACTAGATGTGTGGTATCATTTAGCTCTGAATATCTTTGAACTTGGAACTCATCTTATCTTTGAAATAAGATTAAAACTTTGCTTCCTTATGTAGTATTATTTTCTTATTGAAGGTTATCCTTAAATTTTGTCCTTCATTGTCACAGGGCCAGTCACAACATCTTTTACTACCTTCACTGAAATTCACAAAAGCTTGTGAATGTCTTAAAGAATCTTTTTATTTTATATTTTATGCCACAATAGACATGATTAAAATTAGGCGTATCCAAATAATATTAATAATGTATTTTCTCTTATCCAAAGCAAATGCATTTTGTTCCTACGAGATTTTTAATACATTGCTTTTTTTGGAAGTGAAAGGAGGGGGATGAAAACTGTTTAATGGAAGATACATATTTGACTTGTGATTATAAAGTAATTGCTATACTAATTTTGAGTTTACATGGAGATACTGGGGTTTGAAGTAAATGGAAAGCAAATTCTATTTCTGTTCAAACATCCAAAGTAACCCCTTTGGCACAGAGCTGCTGGAAGATACTGTCTGCTAGGCCATGAAAACTGTGCAGCCACGTTATGGAAACCCATGTACTAGGTCTGTATTTATAAAATAATGTTCAAAGTTTCAATTGTCATAAAACTGTCACAGACAATCTTAAGATACCCTTACCTACCTCATCCTCTCCTTCTACCCATCAAAGAAAAGGCTAACAGGAATAGTTAAATTCGATCATTATTTTTGGATGATCAGGTGCACAACTTTGCAGGCACACATGGAACATGCCTGCTCTTTGAAGGTTTCTGCCTCCTCTTACTGTCTCACTCTACAGGAGCTAGCCAGGTTAAATGGCTCCAGGACAGCGCCTGCCTTGGGAGGTCTCTCTGCAAAGATCAGAAGCTGTCTGAGGAGCCAAAACTGCCTTCTTGCTGCCTCACTGTTGGCTGAAAACTTGCTCTGCTCAGAGGGTGGAAACAATGCCTCGAGGGAGGTGAGATTGGAAGGTGAGCACAGGAGAGAGAGGGGAAAGCTGCAAGACTGGACCCAGTTTAGTCCACAGAAAACCATGAACATGTGTTTACAGTCTTCTTGTCCTGTCTGTTTTCTGTCCTGGACCATGCAAGAGCAAATTCGGCAGGAGAGCTGGTGGGAGAAAAGGCAGGAGAACTGTGAAGATTCCTTGATGCTGGTTTATCCTGCTAAGTAATTACTTGCTAAAACTCTGGGGCTCTACTGGTTTATCCGCTAAATGACTACTTGCTAAGGCTCTGTCTGGGGCTCTGCTGGTTTATCCACTAAGTGACTTCTTGCTAAGGCTCTTTCTGAGGCTCTGCTGGTTTATCCGCTAAGTGACTTCTTGCTAGGGCTCTGTCTGGGGGCTCTGCTGGTTTATCCGCTAAGTGACTTCTTGCTAAGGCTCTTTCTGAGGTTCTGCTGGTTTATCTGCTAAGTGACTTCTTGCTAGGGCTCTGTCTGGGGGCTATGCTGGTTTATCCGCTAAGTGACTACTTGCTAAGGTTCCAGGGCCATGCCTTTCTTTTCCCCAAACAGCAGTTTACAGTGGCTGTGAAGTGAGAGACCAGAGCAGCTGCAGAATCTCAAGAGTGTTTAGTTGGGATGGAGTTTGGGCAGAGCTCATTTCCTGTGTAAGTGGCAGTAAGGAACCACACCAACCATCTAGGTTCTTAGCCCTCCGACTTAGTGTTATCTTTTTCTCTCTTGAATTGATTTAAAAATAGAGAAGATTGTGAAGACCTGTTCTCTCTGGTCCCTGCTCTATGAGGGATGAGCAGAGAGAAGTTTCTTTGTGGCCTACTTCCAAGAAAATAACCCATGAAGCCTACAAGAAAATAATTTTAGTGACTTTACACACACCTGGGAGAACAACAGTTCTGTAATGGAGAATCGCTTGTGTGATGTGAACCAATCTAACACAATGTGTCAGGTGAAAACATGGCTCAGGGACTTTAAGAAAACGTTTGTCCATTCAAGTGAGTTATAATCGTATGTGACATTAGCAAATCCTTGGAAGGAAATCATGGATAGTAGCTTATGATATTTGTCATTGTATCCACATACCAGAGATAACACCAGGGGGAAGAGGACTATGTTTTGACTTCTAGCTTCAGAGGTCTTAGTCTGTGGTCAGTTGGGTTCATTTGTTCTAAGCTCATGGTAAGGAATCCAAGTGCAGAAAATCAAATATCTGACATTCTTATCAAATATGGGAACTACAGTGTCCTTCTCCAGTGGGCAGGGGCAATGGGAAGTCTTTCATCTCTTCCTAACAGAGAAATGCCAGGTACCAGCAAAGGTATAGAAGTCAAGGAGGCCGCTGGTGTAGAGCTGACATTATTGACCTTGAGGTACCTGGCACCACTCCCAGCCCAGAACACAGCTTAGAGTTGGAGCCGATAGTTCTTCTAAATGCGACCAGCACTAAGAATGATATTTCACAGAATGGAATAGAAATCTTGGCACTGGGTGATGCCAACCAATTCCGGAACTTAAATTACTTCAGAATCTCCAAAGCAGCAAAATAAAGAGACAGATGCATGTCTCTTTATAAGCCATGAATTTCCTAATAACCCTAAAGCTTCAAACAGGACGTAAACACAATCACAGGCAACTCTTAAAATACCAGACAAGAACCATGAGCCAAGTTTCCCACAAACTAGACTCATCTTGTTCTTATTCAAATGCAATACCTCCCTTTCATCAACTGATTAGCCAACCTATTCAACTTAATGCAGGAAACGCTGCTCTGTAAACTCCCTAACTGCCAAAATTACTCTCATCCAAAGTTCTATAGTTTATCTTTAGCTGTGCTTCATGAAATATATACACATTTTAAATGGCTTTTAAATCCTATTAATGCTTTTAACCCAGCTCTTACACACAGGTGCTCTCATCAATGCTTTTCTAATTATCAAGTTGAGATAGTATTTTGCATTTCCTTCCCTTTTTAATTTGACAGTGTACATTCTTTTCTGCCAGTCTCAAATCCAAAACTTCAAAATACTGGCTTTGAGGTAGAGACATTTTAATGTATCGCTCACAAATGTTTTATGTGAAAAAATGTCATTCATTGTATCACAAGAAACCGGACCATCTTCCCAGGAACACGAAGTCCCAGAGTTTTACAAGAGTCATCCAATAGAAGCCAAACTAAGTTGGAAGAGATGAGAAGAAAGGCGTCTCTGATCTACCCACACCATCGGCATATGGTTCTATCATGCCCGGCACTTCAGTAAAGAAGTGGATGCTGTCGTGAAAGTTATCCTGCTGAAACCAGAGGTCAAGACTAGCAAAAGACAGAGCTGATATCAATTCAAGACATTTTACAAAGAGTTTTGCTGTGGCAGGCTGCAAGAGGAATCCTCATAGGCCAGTGAGGTTTCCTGACCTCGTTTCTGTTCATTGTTTGTACAAGTCGTGTAGAACGCAGTCCATGCTCTAGGAGTAACATGGGTACCAAGTTGGAACTTTTAGGACCACCAAATAACAGGGCTTCGCAAATAAGTAAAACAGCTGAAATAGCCAGCAGTCTGGTCTAACCTGGGATGCTCAGTCTCCTCACAGCCAATGCTCCATCGGGCGGCTTTGTCTGGCTGGCAGATTTAGTGTAGGGACTCTCATCTGCAACGGTACAATGAAGGGTTTGGTTAATTTCCATCCATTTTCCAGTGTAGTGAAGATCTGCAATGGATCACAATCCTTCTGAGAGAGAGAGAGAGAGAGAGAGAGAGAGAGAGAGAGAGAGAGAGAGAGAGAGAGAGAGAGAAGTGAGGGGCAGGAGGAAGAGTTGATGACCTGAGCCCTACATTTGGGTAAGTTTTAGATGAGTGGATGTCCTGAACATCACTTTCTTCTTGAGAAAGAGGGACATAGTTCTCATGTACCCTCATAGGGTAAGGATTGAAAGCTAAAATGTACATGGAGACATTTTAAAAGTGTTAAGAAGGGTGCTAGTAGGCACAGCAATCCTCCACCGGTTGTCTACACCTACCCATAAACAGTGAATAGGTGTGACAGGAAGGTAAAGACTGAACAAAATGGCTCAGCGGAAGAACAAAGGAAAGGAGAGGAGATGCAGTATTTCAGAGAAGCGGATGAAAGAGCGTTAGTACCGCAAGAGAATCAAGACAACAGTTAGTAGGTTCTTCTTGGGAACACGAATCAGCATTCAGGGTAAAGCAGAAGGGTGGGGTCATTCCAGAGGTAAGATTGCAGATGCTGAGAAATGGGGAGGAAGGATGGCTTGGCAAAAGGAGATGTGCATTGCAAAGGGCCGTAAGTTCTCTTTAAGAATGAGTTAAAACAAAACAAAACAAAACAAAAAAACACCGTCAGCAGAGCAATACAGAGAGCAACCGAGAAGACAGAGGGTCCAAAGCATCAGATGTGTAAGTAGCAGGGAAGAGTCTGGGTGATGGCCATACTAGGTGTCAAGATCACGGAGGCAGTGGCCCACCAGACTAAGTAAAGTGATTGGCCGAGGGTTTTCTGTGAGGAGGGAGTGTGAGAAGTGGCACGGGGAGGCTCATGGAAGGGTTAGAAGAGTAAGGACAATGCTTCCAGGTTAGGATGGAAGCATCTGCATGATTGGGAAAGGAGATGATGGCAGCATCTCAGGAATGGGATTGATACGGCTTGAGGAAAAGAAATCCCGTCCGACCATTCCCCAGGACTCTCAGTCATCTGGGTAACACAATGACACACCCTCCCACGCTGAAGCCCGTTCACTCTGCTGTCACTGTTTTAACTGTGAATAGTTAAAGGATTAAAAGGAATTATATTGCACACGGCAAACTATTAAAGACAACAAGCATTTAATTCAGTGGCAAGGTTTATCATCTGAGGGCTGTGCCCATTAATTCTCGCAGCTCTGTTGTGTGTGTTTCTGCAGCAAAGTGCTCATCAATGTGTTTTTCCTGTAAACGGTTCAGGATTTCTTTATGAAACGAGCAATGTCTCTATAAGCAACAACAAAAGGAAAGATTAACACTGCTGTAATGGCAATTAATTTGAAAAACGGCAGGCACCGTCGCTTCATGTTCACGTGTCATTTATCACACAATTCTGTTCATTTTTCCAACCATAACAAAGCTATTGGCTTTAGGGTACCGAAACAATCAACATCATTCATGCTGCTTCTGAAGTAGCAACGTAAGTCTTGGACTCTTCTCATTGCAAACACGGTGTTGACAAATACATTTCACAAAACAAATCTAAGCATTCGATCATGAAAGTGGCCATTTGTCCCACCACCCATCTTCCCCCTACTGAAGAGGCGAGTGAGTTTTCCAAAGTGTTAGTGTAATAACCAGACATTCACTTCATATAACTGTCATACAAACAGGCTGCTTCTGTGCAAAGATCTGAGACTCACAAGGCTGCTCCAATATTGTGTTTCCTTTCCTTAGCCACGACTTGACAACAGTTCACCTAGAAAGACACTGAGCCAAGGGATGTCAATTACACACCCAGGTCCAGGAACTGCAACTTAAGGCTTCTTCAGTTTTCAATTCATCAGTTAGGCCCTGGGTTGAGTGTAATGCTGGGGTTTCTTAAAGAGCACCAGAGATTTTTCCCAGGGGACTCTTGGGTTACCTTCTCTTCATGTATTATTTCAAGGAGACCATTTTTTAAAAAAACAAAATTCACCTAGTTTGCATTTTAGAAGCAGTCATCCCAGTTAAATTGTTTTCTCATTTATATTTGAAAGTGACTTCCTCAGTTTAGGCCTCAGATCTTCTGGTAAAAAGGTTGAAATTGAATTATAGATGGCCATCTGACCAACACCTGTATCACCATTCCTGTGCCACATCCTCCCTCCCAGAAGCAAGTGCATCCTTCCCAGGCACATGGGAAAGAAAAAGCTTAGCCAGCAACCGGAAGCTGTGTTGGCCAAATAATCACATGGGAAAAGCTCAATATCAGCTAGGAATAGCTTGCTAAAGATGCAAGGGTCATGGCTGCAATGCCTGATGGGAGTGAGGCGGGCATGAGTAGAGGAGATGCCTGGTACAACCTAATGGAGTACTAGGAGACGTCGCGAAACAACTGGCTCTTCGTTTTAAGTGCAACGCCAATATAATTCATTGTTTCCAGAATGGTCCTAAAAGAGCCTTTGGATTTCTTTTAAGAAACATACTAATACTTTTATTTCGTTTCATTAGGGAGGCAACCACTTTCATACACAGAAAAGAAACATAGATCAAATAATGACATATCTGAGTCATAGCAATTCTAGAACAGCACAGCATATGCAATAGGCGTTCAGGAATATTTTGTTGATAGACCATGGTATTATAAAAATACATGAGCATATTTCCACCCACCTCTGTTTTTTTCTTTTATTTTTGGGTGTGGGAGGATTCAGGTTTATAGACTATCCCTGTTAACGTCACATTATAACCCAACTGTTAAGAACTGACAGCCTAAACCACTTTATATGATTTTGTGGTTAGTACCATGGCAAGCTAGAAATATGTAACTATTTATAAAATTGGTAAAAATATACATTTTCTTTTACATTTATTCAGATTTTTAAAACAATTTGCCAAACAATTGTCAATTTATTTGCTTCCTAAAACAAGGTCTCACATACCCACAGTGCTTTTGAATATGCTAGGTAATTAAGATGGCGTTGAACTCTCGATGTTTCTGCCTCACCACCTAAGGACTGGGGTTACAGATGTGCACCACCAGCCAGAAAACAAATCTTTCAAAGCATTCCTCTGAATAGAGTCTGACTGTCAAGTCACACGCAACTTGGTTACTGATAGTCCATTCCATTCACAAAGGGGTCCTCTCAAAAGTCACTATGGAGGCCAAAGAGACATTCAGCCGGTGAGCCACTGCCCTCTGCCTCACATGCTAAAGAGACAGAAAATGTTGTCTAGGCTGTCAGAACAGCCAGGCATCTCTGCAGCTAGACAATCACTGTCTTTTCTTAACTGCTGTCCCCCTCTCGCCGATGGATTCCGAGACCTGTGTCCAGTTGACAGCACACTAGCCTGCACACCTCATCTGCCCCTGTTTGTCCAGAGCATTCACTTGCAAAGCACAGGAAGCAAGAACCTGCTTTTCTGGGTTGATCGCTTATTCCAGGTGAAGAATCTATCAACTTAAAGACAGGAGTCATCTGTGCACTGTAGCCACAAGCCTACACCGGACCTGGGAGGATCACAAGGTGAGGAGTGGGCTCAGGTCCCTCCTGTTATCATACCCTTCAGGGGTTGCCTGATGGCCTTTCAAACAAAGCCATTCCCAGGATCTGAGCTTCTCGGCACTGGATGTGACCATGGTTCAGGACTACTCTGACTGTCTTCAGGGTTTTGTTGAAGAAAATAAAATTTAATTTCCTTTGGCTGAGACTAATCAGCCCAGGCTAAACAATTCCCAGCAACTCATTATGCACAGTGGATTTACCTGCTAAGCCAGCAGATCTCTAAACTCCTTGATTAGGGAAAAAGAAAAAAAGATATTTGGCGCACTTAAACGTTATGACCATTTCCCAGCAGTAGGAGACAGGCGTCTCATGCGACAAGGCTCCCGTGTGCCATTACAGACGCAGAAGAAAACACTGCTTTCCACCAGGAACACAATGAAACCCACAGCAAAGAGAGTAACCTGTCCCTTGGATCCAATTAGCACTCATGAATGTTAGCGCCTACTACGTGCACACTGAGGATGGAGAAGAATAAAAGATAATGGAAGTACAGGAAGACTGGCATCGGCAGAGTTCCTTTCACCTCACAGGCTCCACTCGCAGAGCGGAATATGGTGCTTGATTCTCCTCAGGGGGAAACTAAGCCTGTGCCCAAGGGAGCTGGTTCGAGATGGGGCCTGGTAGGAGAGGGAGAGCCACCATCATGACTGGAAAGAAAATATTGTGATCTGGAAAAAAAAATTCATCTTTTGCCTATGTGCAATGTTTTCTAAGCTTTGGTTCTGTCGATGTCACTCCTGTTCCACTTGAACCTGCAGTGGTCGCTTCCTTCTCTCGGGCCTCCACCTGCCAATTCAGGGCAGTGCCATGGTGGCTTGATGAGATTACCCGAAATTCTAAGAAAGATTCCTGGAAGATAACTTTGAAAAAGTCTTGGTGACAGAAGGGACTTGCATCTTTCTCTTCTCATTAAGGTGATGAGTGTGCTGAAGCCACCATATGGTGAAGTTCAAGCTCAAAGAGACGCTCTCACCCCTCTCTCCAGTTCTCGCCCATGCTTCATTCCCAGCTGAACTAATCCTGTTTGCCTTGGGACACGTCAAAGCTACACGGCGCATCTTCCTCTGGACAGAATGGTCTGCAGTTTTCTGAGTTTGCACAGGTTTGAGCAATATCGCTTACACATGTGGAGCCTACAGCCAAGGATACCTACTGGCAACGCACCAGTAAGAAGTGAGTTAATGGCATCTCCTTCACTAACCCAATGAAGCAGTCTACACAGCTAGTTTGAAAGCAGAAGGGGACGGTGATGAGATGAATTTGATGGTAAGGGTGAGCTAGGAATCTGCTCCATCACAGTCTCTTTCCTATTAAGAAAAGATTTTCTCGCTCCATCCACCTCTTCTCTCTCGCTATTTATTTCACATCTGCATGACGTTAATGTCCATCCTGAGTTGGCAGG